TTTTTTTTTTTTTAAATGAGTGGTTAAAAAAGTGAAAAAATTTCGATTTGCTTATAATATTATTTTATGAAAAATTATGTGATTAAGAATAAAATAAAAAAAATATAATATAATAGAATGAAAATTAATGAGGATCAAACGGGGATTTAATTGGGTACCGCCCACCCTGACGTGATTGGCCACTGTTTTAAGGTCCCAACCTTTTCATAACTTACCAGTGGGCCACAATGAAAAAAAAAACAATAAACGGCATGGGATTTTGATAAATGACGCGGGCCCTGCTGTGAGAGGGCTGTCACTGTAGCATGGCTCAACGGCGTATACCAAAACTTGCCATGTTTTTCTAAATTTGACAATGCATTTATTATAGTAATTCAATTATTAGTTTACAGTAGCATAATCACGAAAAAAGGGTTGATTAGAGGGCATTTTAGTCTTTAAATCTCGTAATTCATCACCCAACTGGAATATGGTCTGTTGTGTCTGTCTCTGCTGTATCCGTCTCTGTCTCTGTCTCTATTTTTATTTATATATAAGAGAAAAGAGCACAAAACTTGCTTACCTCCCCGTTTTCTGTTTTGGGTTCTCCATTTTCCTTCTTTCTAATTCTACTTTCTGAGATTAATCTATATTTTTCTTTGCTTGAATGAGGGGTTTTTGAGTGTAGATTATTTCTTGGCATCTCATAAATAGCTTAAATAGTTCTTTACTTTTGAGAATTCCATGTTCTGATTTTTGAGGTAACTCTTCTACAATTGTTTAGATGCTTTTTTCTGTGCTCTCTGTGTTTCTTGAACTAATTCTTTCTGAATTTAGTTAGTTGTTTAATTGAACTTGACAATTAAAATCTTTAGATTGTTAATTTTAATTGGGTTTTATGTTATTTGGTCTGATAGTGTTACTTCTTTAATTCTTGGATTAAAAAATGTATGAAGTTTTACTATTCTATCGATTCTTGTTGGTATTTATTTATTTTGTGTGTTAAATTTCCGTTGTAGTCATTGGGTTCTTTCTGTTCTGTGATTACATACATTCATGGAAATCAGAACTTGAAATTGATTGTTTTCGTTTATTTTTTCCAGAATTACTGGTGGGAATTCCTGGGATTATCTGTAACTATGAAGAACTGCAATAAGCCACCGCTGTTTTCGATGGTCAGTTTTCTGTCACTGGCTTGTTTGATTGATGTGATGGCAGTCTATTATGTGCCAACGGACAAGATTCTGTTAAACTGTGGTGGCCCCCCGGAAGCCACGGATAATGATGGCCGGAAATGGGAATCCGATATCGGTTCAAAGTTTGTACCGTCAAGCTCCAAGTCCTCGACTTCCTCAGCTGCCCAACAACCCTTTATACCTGAAGTACCGTACATGACTGCTCGAATTTTTCAATCCGAATTCACCTATAGTTTCCCGGTGGCGTCAGGGCGTAAATTTATACGTCTATATTTCTATCCAGCATCATATAATGGACTAGATGCCTCGAATGGCATCTTCTCAGTGACTGCAGGGTCGTATACTCTTTTAAGAAACTTCAGTGCTGCACAAACCACTAAAGATATGAACTATGATACTATGATGAAGGAGTTTTCTGTAAATGTCGTTTCCGAAGTGTTGAGCGTAACTTTTACACCATCGGCTAATATTTCCAACTCATATGCATTTGTGAATGGGATTGAGGTTGTTTCACATCCTGATATTTACAGTACAGATGGGACTGTCATGGTTTTGGGTCGATCCACTGGATTCAATATTGACAACAGTACTGCACTAGAGAACGTTTATAGGCTGAATGTGGGCGGAAATTACATTTCACCCACCGGTGACACAGGCCTTTTCAGGTCATGGAAGGACGATGTAACTTACATATTTGGTGCTGGGCATGGGGTCACGGAAACTAATGATCCAAACGTTACGTTCAATTACCCTTCAGGAATGCCAAGCTATATCGCCCCACTTGATGTTTACAAAAATTTGAGATCAATGGGTCCAAATGCTTCGGTTAACCAGAATTATAATCTCACTTGGGACTTCACTGTTGATTCGGGATTCTTTTATCTTGTTAGACTCCATTTTTGTGAGGTAACAGATGTTATCACTAAACTGCATCAGAGGGTGTTCAAAATTTTCCTTAACAATCATACTGCAGAGAAAGAGGCAGACGTGATAGGTTGGGCAGGAAGCAATGGTGTTCCTATTTACAAGGATTACGTGGTGCAAGTTCCTAGTGGGTCCCCCCAGCAAATTCTTTGGCTTGCCCTGCATCCTTCTACGGAATCGAGGCCACAGTATTATGATGCAATCTTGAACGGTGTTGAAATATTCAAAGTAAATAATACTAGAGGTAATCTTGCAGGTATCAGTCCAAGTGCACTTCTAGAACCCAAAGGAGATGACTCATCGGCTAGAGCATCGTCTGGGTCAGGTCAATCAAATGACAAAGCCATTATTGGAGGAGTTGGAGGTGGAATTGCTGCAGTCCTTTTTGTTGGTGTATTTGTTTGTTTTGTCTCAATAAGTCGGAAGAACAAAAAGGATTCTAGTACAAGTAATGGGTGGCTCCCTTTATCTTTGTATAGAAATTCACATTCTTCGGGTTCTGTAAAGACAACCACTACTGGAAGCATTGCATCCTCCCTACATGTAAACCTTTGTCGCCACTTCTCAATAGCTGAAATCAAGGCTGCCACCAAGAACTTTGATGAGGCTCTCCTCCTTGGGATCGGAGGGTTCGGAAAAGTATACCGTGGAGAAATTGATGGCGGAACCAAAGTGGCAATTAAGCGTGGGAACCCACTCTCAGATCAAGGGGTGCACGAATTCCAAACCGAGATTGAGATGCTTTCAAAACTTCGCCACCTGCACCTTGTTTCACTAATCGGATATTGTGAAGAGAATTGCGAGATGATTCTTGTGTACGATTACATGGCTTATGGAACTCTTCGTGAGCATCTGTACAAGACACAGAATCCTCCATTGTCATGGAAGTGCAGACTTGAGATTTGCATTGGTGCTGCTCGTGGTTTGCACTATCTACACACCGGTGCAAAGCACACTATTATTCATCGTGATGTAAAGACAACTAACATTCTTTTGGACGAGAAGTGGGTAGCAAAGGTTTCCGATTTTGGCTTGTCAAAAACAGGTCCTTCATTGGATCACACTCATGTCAGCACTGTGGTTAAGGGTAGTTTTGGTTATCTTGATCCTGAGTACTTCAGACGCCAGCAATTGACTGAAAAATCTGATGTCTACTCATTTGGTGTTGTACTTCTTGAGATATTGTGTGCTCGGCCAGCTTTAAACCCAACACTTCCAAAGGAGCAAGTTAGCTTGGCAGAGTTGGCTCTGCATTGCCATAACAACGGTATTCTTGACCGGATCATGGATCCATATCTGAAGGGTAAGGTTGCACCCGAATGCTTTAAGAAATTTGCCGAAACAGCAGTGAAGTGTTTATCAGAGGCTGGGACGGAGAGGCCCTCTATGGGCGATGTGCTTTGGAACCTTGAGTTTGCTTTGCAACTTCAAAAAAGTGCCGACGAAAGTGACAAGGGTATCGGAGAAATGAATACTGAAGAGGACGTCACATGTAAAGAGAAGAAGGATCCCGATGCATCCTCAGGTTTTGATGGCAATATAACAGATTCAAAAAGCAGTGGAATATCCATGAGCATTGGTAATAGGAGCCTTGCCAGTAATGACTCAAATGGTTTGACACCCAGTGCCGTGTTTTCACAGATCATGAACCCTGAAGGACGGTGATATCAAAACGTTTTGCACTCAGGCACACTTCTACTAAGTCTATTAACCCCTGGATCATAATGTTCATTACTGTCTTTATTCTTTGACTCATTAGTATCTTCCATTGAGTTGCACAGAATTACACAAAAAGGTGAAATTTATTCACTGTCCCTATCTATAACTGATAAAAAGATGTTCATTTGACAGCTTGAACAATCGTCTATAATGATAGTTCTGATCTATTCGTTTTTCAATGACATGTTCTACTGAGATCGCTTTGCTCCAGTTTGAGGGTCTATGCAGTCACAAATATGAATAGGCAAAACCTGGTCATCGGACGAAAGAACATAATAAAATTAACAATGCAACATAACTCAACCGAAAAATTGAATTTGACTAACACTGATGATTTGAACATTTACGTGCAACATATGGGGGTTCTGAAGCATAGCTAAATAGGACTTAACTAGCAATCAAATTTGCAATAGTGCATTTACAGTCAGTCACAACGGTTAAAAATGAGAACTTAACGCACTTTGAGCATTCGGTTAAAACAAACCATTTCAAGCTCTCCCATATAGAACCGGAGTATGGCAACTATTTGTCTCTCGAACAGGTCATCAAAAAGACTGCTAAATCTTTTTGAAGTGAGAGATGGAGGGAAGGCGGGTTAAATTCATTACCTCGTATGACAAACATAAGAGGACTCGGATCAAACTCCCAGTCTAAAATGCCTTTCAAAAATAATGAAAATCTCGCCATCATAGAGTGCTAATTCTTCTATTTGCTGTCCATCTTTAATGAAGAAGAAGGTTGGAGTTGCTTCTATATCCCATGATGTACTAAATTCCTAAAAGAATGAACCAGATAAATACAGTTTACTCCTATTTTTAATAAATGCTTTGTAATATTGAGAGGGTTCCTTTTTTTTTTTTCCGATAAATGTGAATTATATTGATCAAAATCATATAAAAATAAACCGGGCATTCCCGGGACAATCATATCAAGTTAGATATATAATTACAATGAGCATTCCCGAACAAAAAAAGAACAACCAATACAACATAGAGACTAAAAGCAAATGACTCATATTGAATTAAAACATCCGTAACTTTGTATACATGTATTTTGATCCGTCGAACAATACTATCATTATGTGGTCTTAGGTCTTCAAAAATCAACCTATTACTTGCCGTTTAAATGTGGTAAACGTTAGTCGCAATTGCAATACATTTCGCCTCGCTATGCCAAGTAATATCCCGACTCTCCTTTTTAATCCATTTCAGACATAGATCACCTAAGATCCACCCATGCACGTATTTCCCCCCGAACTGATTGGCTGAAATAGCATTCCAAAAACAGGTGAGCGTGGTCTCACCCGTAAGTGTACACAAACTGCATCTGCGGTCAGTATGTAAGATTCGAAATTTGTCCTTCGTCAATAGCTTCAGGTTGATTGATAACCAAGCAATAATGCATGCTTCAAAGTCATGCATTCCAAATAGTTTTGGCCCAGATTACTTTCACTCCCTTTGACCTAAAATACTGATACGAAACAGATACCATGTATCTCCCATTGATTGTCTAGTCGACCAGTTTATTTGCAACATCAAGTGTTGCATTTGGCCCCTGTAAAGCAGTCCCTGATTTGCAACAGCTTTTTGATGAGACGGGAGTCCTCTTCCCTTGACATATAAACCCAAATGTTACTCACACGTAGGTACACATGATTAACCCATTTGATCCACTAAGTATCCTTTTTACAATGAACGTTCCAAAGTGTTTGGAATGTAGTGCTGAGTCCCAACTTTTACCATCCCTCAGGCCAAGACCACAGAACTTACAGTTAATTCTGAAATTCAATTTTGGTTATTATCTTAACGGTTTAACATGATAAATTAATGTCACATCACCAATAGACTAGTCAGCACCGCTTCAATAGACCAGTCAGCACCGCTTACAAATAGAAATACTTTTAATAGGTGTTGAAATATCAATTTAGACAAACTACTTCACCGTGTCAATAAACAGACGACGACAAACCCAATCCACTATTTGATTTTCTCAAGATAATTCAATGCTCATGTCCTGATTTTTGTTTATAGAAGACCTTAATACGATGTCTTCATAGACGGAATAGACCAGGATGCTGCAGTCACTTGTACCAATGACCAATGGAATGTTAAACAAGGTTTCCACATAACCATGGGAGATCATTTTGGTCCATGGCAAAATTCGAATCTCAATCATAACATTCAAGCAGCAGCCTTTCATAGAAGAAGCCCGACCCCTTTGAGGGCATCACTGGCCTCCATTTCTTACTTCGAGCATCTCTCGCTTCTACTTTCTAATCGATGCAGAAAACTGAAGCTCAAAAATAGACAAATAAGCACATGTAGTCTGAAGTGAAGCATTCTTTCCAAGATAACATTGATACGGGTATCACTAGTTAGAACAACCCCATCGGATAACAAGGTTCTCATTCTACAATACATGCAACAATAAAGTTCACACTATAACATGTGCTAAACAGAACCAAATCCATAACACTTGGCCATTTTGTCCCCATCAAAATGGTCTCCACAAGGTTTATATTATGTTTCTGATACAGCTATCTACTTTAAGAAAATATCCGACTGTCATCCCATGGCATACTTCTGTGTCCAGCTGCGGGCTGTGGTCTCATACTTGGCCCTGTCAACCTTGTACATGTGGGCAATCTCAGGAACAAGGGGATCATCAGGATTTGGGTCAGTCAGCAGTGAGCAAATAGAAAGCAGTACCTGTTTGACAGGAGTAAAACTAGTCATACAACAATTGTGCCAAGTTATGAAACCATTCACCCAACCCAATACCGGGGGAAAAAAAATAAAAATTGCACGGATGACCAATTACAACCACAATAATTTACTGCTCAAAACAAAAGATATGGTGAGAGTTAAAACTTTCATGAAACAGCAAAGTATCTGGAGGATAATAAGGGGTGTCCTGCTGTCAACACAAAAGGTTGAACCGACCAGTATCTTTTTAGCTTCTCTGTACCTTAATTAGTACCACCATCTAATATTGTCCAATTCTCCCTACCAAACATGCCATGGGGGTATACATATGAAAGAAATATCATAATCCAACCTAAAACTGGGAACAAAGCTTATTTCCCCTACTTCGGGCATGTGAATCACATTTGTTAGCTTTTATTTTATCTTGTGATCGAGTGCACATGCTGCTAAGTTGCCTGCACATGGTAAAGCTTTTCCAACATGCTATGTCTGTCAACAAAACTGAGCAAAGAAATTTCATGTGGCACACTTGAGGATGTTTGGGTTTTGAGCAAGTTTACAAAACTAAGGCATCTTAAACAACAAGGGGAGCATGCAAAGGGAGTACAATATTGAAGTCAATCTAACCTTCTAATATTATAATATAGATATTCAACTTGACAGCATACAACATGAATTTACCCATGTTGACACATAAATAGATGGACACCTGCTTCACAGGAATCGCCATCACTAGTACCCATTTTTTACTGACCGACTTTGTAATGACTAACGAGTAACAACACGGTACAAGGATGAAGTTGCAAAATATACTCATTACTCAATGTGAAAAGCAAAGCACAGATATGAACTTAAATACATAAAGATACACATAACTATGCAGTCCAAAAATACAATCAATTTTAGAAAACATTTCCGATCCTACCATTAAAATTCAATCACATTGTTTATTAAATTAGTTAGATACATGTTTTTGCCTATTACATACATGAAATCTAATGACACCATGTCTTCCTTAATCTACATATTAAAAGTGTAGATTGAGGAGAAACTTTTGAATATCAATTTTACCCTTATATATTTAGTTATATATCAATTCTACTCTTATATATTTAATATAGTACCATTAAATATAATTTAACTTCATTTAATATTCATTTAAGTATAATGCTCATTGTTTTATATTGGACTACATAAAATTTTAAATTAATCAAATTTAATTTAATTACTTAAATTATGTTATTTAAATTAAGTTTACTACTTAAAATCAAAGCTCACATATATAGATGTAACTTTATTATAATTATATAATATAACATATTAAAGATTGCATTAAGATGATGATAGATTAATTACAATATAAAATAATATTTATTATAGTTTTAGCCCCCGTTTGATTCCCATTCTTTGGCCACAAAAATGAAATATACTGTTATCCATCACATCAAGCCACCATATTTGATTTTCTATCTCTTATGTGAATCTGTAACGACTATATTTTTCATTTTCATTTTTAAAAAAATGGGAATCAAACGGGCTCTTAATATAATTATATATATAGATGAGTTTTGATTTTAAGTGATTAAACTTAATTTAATTAATATAAAATTATGAGAGCCCCAATATTTAAAAAAAAAATGAACTCTATACTTCAAAAAAGACTACACAAAGTTAAATTTTAATTAATCTATTGTTAATGCCACCTTTAATATATTATAATATTATTTCATATGTACATGTATATACACTATTATATATTATTTATATAAGTGAGCTTCACTTAAAATCAACATTCATCAACTTATATAATTATATTATAATTACAATATATATAAAAAGATAAAATGAGAAAATAGAACAGAAACGTTCAATTTACCATTTTATCCTTATGTAATATTGTCAACATCTTCATTCAAAGATTATAAATTGCACGTTTAATTAATATAATAGATAATATAACTATTTAAGTACAAAGGCCAACAAATTGAAAATAAATAAATAAATAAATAAATAAA